TTGTGGCTCTCGCGGCGGATAGGGTGGGGTGCCGGCAGCATCTGCGGAGCGTGGGAGGTGTCACAGGGCGGCGAACATGGCCCTGATGGCAGGCTAGGCCTAGGAGACCCTATATGCGCACGATTTAATCGTGTGCTGGGCCTCTAGTAGATGTAGAATGAATTTACTCCAATATGATATATAAAGTTTCATACACTGTTTATAGAATTTATTTGGAATTGCTACATACCCATGCATCATTACTTTTAGTTTTATGTATCAGCCTTTTCTCCCACATCTAGATAGTAAAGCTCTCAAGGGCAATACCCGCCTTTAGATATATTGGAATCTCTCAAACCAAACACAGTGGCTGCACACAGTAGGTACTGATATTTTATCAGTGCCCCTAAAATGGCGATTTCCTTCTGGCATCCAGGATGCTCATTATTGTTGGTGGCAAATACTTCTTACACCATCCAGTGTCAGTTGAGAATAAATGCACACCCAGTCCATATTTATTGAGCAAAATGTGAACACCCTGGCCAGTATTCAGTAGTGTAGGCCTAATAGAATGTGTGAACATAAATTTGTTGCATGCAAGCTATAGCCACAGAATGTGCTTTTGGGCTATAAAGGAAGAGATTAGAGATTTTTAAAAAGTCTTCTCAATTCCAAAGACAGGCTGTAGTTCAAGTAAAATTTTGTTTAGGGCCCTTAGTCAGCTGTGCCCGACGTCTTATATTTGATGTCCAACGATTCAAGCAAGATTATGGGGGAAAAGTGACAGGAAAAAATCCTCATAGGACTTCCTGTGACAGGTCAAAGTTTAATCACAGCAAATAATGCAGATTTCCCTTCTATTATAAGCACAATAGAAAGGCAGGGCTTGTGTTTCCAAAGCATGTTGTTTGGGAGACCTTTGTAAATGATAATCTTTGGAAATCCCAAATTTATTGGATGTAATCCCATCCATTAGATGAAGACAATTTGCCTATGCAATAGATCCAGAATAGCAAGTTAGAGAACACGGACAGGAAGCAATCATTAAGAATTACAATGGGTAGGATGCAGAGTTAATTCACGGAGATGTTTTGTTATGAGATAATTACATCATCGGGACAGCTGGAAAGCTGCGTGCTGTGCTGGACCACAGTGCTTGCTCCAGCCCTGCAGCTGGGGGTCAAGACAATAGAGACAGTGAGAGAATTACTTTATGAGATAGTGCGGGGCTTGGCTGACTTAATTGTGCCTCTTCTGGATTGTGTTTTCACAGCTAAACTGGACTCATGGACTCAGTAAGTGCTGAGAACCCCTTTTCACTTCTACTTTTTAAAAAATAATTTTTGAAGATATATTTTTATTGATTTCATAGCAGAAGGGAGAGGGAGATAGGAACATCAATGATGAAAGGGAGTCAGTCATATATTGGTTGCTTCCTTCATGCCCCCTGCTGGGGATGGAGCCCTCAACCCAGGCAGTGCCCTGACTAGGAATCGAATCCTGACCTCCTGATTTATGGATCAATGCTCAACCACTGGGCCACACTGGCCAGGCCACTTCTACTTTTTGAACATTCACTTGGGTCACATTAAGCGAAGCTCTAATGGATAAATATTGAATGGTAGTTTTCATTTCCTCTCAAAGTAATCTGAGATATTGCTCATATTCAACACAGTGTGGTTATATTTCTCTTATGAAACTGCAGTCATTGAAATGGTATTTTTGTCAGTTTACTGAACAGCAAAAAAAAAAGTTTAAAAAGTCTTGAGATGGTAGTCAACACAAGGAATCATACAGTTTAAGTTATTTTCCAGTGTTTGTTCAAATGTTCAGACCTGTCTGGCTCTTTGGGTTTACAAGTGTAGAGGTTCTAGGCAGCCTGGCCACATCCTCATTGGTTTGTATAAATATATTACAGATTGTTGCCCTCTTGCCAAATATCAGGGATTTCATTTCTTGTTTAGCTCAGTTACTTATGTGAGATTTGCATCTATTTTCTCTTTATTTCCCACCAAAGTGCCTATTATTTGATTTGTGGTAATTCCAGAGGGAGACTTTGTAGATGAAAAAGCATCATGTATATTATATTCTAAAATGCTTAAGATTGATATTTATAACTGTTGAGTCACAAGACATTTTTCTACCCATTATGACTAATATAACTTAATTTTTACTCTGATAATGTTTACTGAACAATTAAGTCAAACTAAATTTCTTATTTAAGTGAAAAGCAATATTTCCCAGTACTTCTGTGGAGTACTGGGCTATAGGATGTTGATACCCAACATTAGAACCAAAAAGGGGATATTCTGCAGGTCCTCCTAGGACTTTTACTTCCTTAGTTGTCACCTGTGAATTTTGGAAGAGAATGTAATACGCTCCGTTTCCCACATGAAATTAATAAGCCACCTTTAAAGAGGATTATCTCCTTGAACAGCATGAGCTGCTCCTACCTCACACCATTCTTTTTGTAGCCTGGAATATGTATATACATTAGAATTCATATAAGAAGATTCCACACTTTATACTGTGACACAGCTCTTTAAAAATTCCACTTTTTAAAAATTGCCAGTTAAAATTAAGGCCTTTCAAATCGGCAATTACAAAATAGTCATGGGGATGTAAATTTCAGCATAGGGAATATAGGCGATAATGTTGTAGTAAGTATACTAGTATATGGGGACAGGTGGATAGTGGAAATATCAGGGGGAACATTTTGTAAAGTATATGATTGACCACTATGCTGTATGCCTGAAACTAATACAGAATAATACTGAATGTAAATTGTAATTGGAAAATAAAATTTTAAAAATAAATAAAATAAAAATAGGGCCTTTCCTCAAAATGGTGAGTCTTTAATATTTTGAATAAAGTGATATAACTTTGAGGAAAAGTACTTGGGTGGGTTAGATGTTATTCTTCTATTGTGTCATACAAAGAGTGCTTGCAAACGGTCTCATGAGCTGAAGCAACATTATATGCCACGGCTGTTTGGTAACTTAACGGTTTGAGAGCAGGTGACTTTGGCTCAGCAGTGCGTTATGATCACTTCATTCTCCAGTTATGTCCCAGTCAAACGTTTCTTTTCCTTTTGGAAAGTACTTAAATGTCTTACATATTAAAAACTCTAAGTGCAATAAGAACTAGAGTTACTGAAATCATTGCCACCAGAAGCAGTGGTAGACACTGTGTCTTCATTGAGGAAATGTAATGGGGAGCATGTTTAAAGGAACATTTATGAAGCACAGGAGCAATGGTGAAGCCCCATGTTTGACCTTGAGTTTGGTATATTCCATCTTTGGTTCATTGCTATTTTATTTTATTACAAAAGTAGACGCAGCAGATAGGAAGAAGCTTGGTTATTTGGAACTCCTTTTTCTTCCAAAGGAAATAAAAAGTGAAGCCGTGGGTCTAATGGGAAGAAGATGGTTCTCAGGAACCTATGAATACATGATAGGTTACTCGGAATTACCCAATTTATAGAGTTGTTTTGATAGACGTCTCGGGTGTCAGATCCATGCACAATAGCAATCATGTTTTTCATAGTGTGGCACTCAGATGTCTTATGATACTTTCTTTAATACATTTACTAACTAGGAGTTTTTACTTTATCAAAAGAGTGTTCCAGAATAAGTCACATTGGTGACTTTGGAAGAGTTTAGAATTTAGAAAAAATAACTTTGGAAGTAGATCATTAAAACTTTAACAATCAGAATATTTGGAAGTAGATAAATGTGAGGAAGAAATTCAGTTGATCTTAGTGGATTTGAATGGAGTTGTAGAGCTCACCTCAAACTGCCCATAATTAAAAAGTAGTTTGAATCTGGCTGTGAAGTGTGTGTGGTTGGTGGTGGTATTGTTCACCCCACTAAATTTAACTTACAGTGTTCTTTAGTTTAACATTGAGTTTAGATTCACAGAGAATGTTGTGAGTCCCATATAGCCTAGAGACATACAGTCGGGTGGTATGGTAGCCAGGTAGGCATTAAAAATTTAACAGAGGTAATATACAAAGTGGATAATTGAGAGTCAACCCTACATTTTAGTAATTGGGTTATGTGCACATTTATAGTTAGTCCCTTTAAAGAGTGTTATTAAGTTTTTAAAATGAAAGAAAATAATATGAATAACATTTTATTAGCCTTTTCTGAGTGTTTATATTACATCCTTGTCAAGAAATTTACTGACATCTTGTTTATGAGTGGCTTAATTCTTCAAACAATTGCTGAACATCTCATGTACTAGAGAGTGTACTTTTATGAATGAAATCAAAGGAAAATGTGTCTTTGACTCAATTGTTTTGCTGCTGAAAACTTTGTTTTCGAAACTTAAATTTTGAATTGGTGTAGGATTTTATGAAAGAAATTGAATTCGTCCAGCCGTACTTGATCATGAAGTTGGTTAGTCTGTCTTTATCATTCAAGGTGACATAGTTTACCAATGCACTTTCTTCCCCTGAAAAAAAGTTTGAATTTTACAGTTTTAATGAGCATGATATTTGGAATTTTAAAGCTAGGAATGTATACCCTTTCTAGGGAAATCATTTGATTGACCAGGATGAGAAGGCTCTCTTAGAAATAAACCAAATTTCTCCATATTCCATCCTACTTATTTTCACAGACATGATTGTTCACACCCTAAATTCCAGTTAAAACTTCATTGCAGAGTCCAGCATCTCCAAAGAATGCTCAGTCAGTCTTTTTAATAATTTTCGAACTGTGAGCTAAGAAGAACCATGTTTTTCCTAGGCTGCAGTGTTTAAAACTATCAGCAGCAGCAAGGCCCACCTGAGGTCTTAAATAAGGAAACACTCCACACAGATATTCTCAGGCTCCACTTGTCTTCCTTTCTCTTTGCTACTGTGTGTCAAGTCCTATTGGGTATCCTTACATATTATCACAGGAATGGTCAACACTGGCCCTGTGTTTATTCCTGTTTGATCAAAATGAGGGACATATGTAAGACGTACAGGTTATTTCTTTGCTTATTGCCACCTACTTACTCTCTCTTTCTTTTTCCTTTTAGGTTATTCGATGTGTGCACGGTGTCACGAACAGACAGAGAAACTAAACTAACATTAGTGTTTGAACATGTTGATCAAGACTTGACCACTTATTTGAATAAAGTTCCAGAGCCCGGAGTGCCCACTGAAACCATAAAGGTACCAAGAATCGTCTTTTTGCCTGGTCAAACAGTCACACTATTATAGTCTATTAAGCAATGGCATTCTTTCCTTTATGAAAATTGCCAGAATTGGAGCTTTTGGAACTCAGTGTATAGATAAATATATTTAATATAGCTAAGTGGGATATATTGTAGTTCATTAATGTTAGGGCTCAGTGGAAAATCCTTTAGTTCTTAATACCTTTATTGAAAAATATCTATTTGTTAATTATGTGGCCCTAACTTTGGAAAGTATAATGCAGTAAATATAGCTCAGTGTTTTTCTGATGATTCACGGACTCTGAGAGATATAATCTGAAACATCATATGTGAGCACATTAGATATTTTACTTGTATATTGACTCCAGGATATACCATGCTATACAAATCGGAAATACTGGTCTCAGGCCCTTCTTTCTTCAATTTTTCTCATTAATAAAAACATTTATAGGAAGCCAGTGCTAAGGACCATCCCAAACTCTTGGGATTTAAAGATGACTTTAGGTTTTTTAGAAGTCAGCAAGCTAAATGCAGTGTGCTGACTAGAAATTCTTTCTTCCTTTAAATCTAATGGAAAAAGCTGCTTATAAAGTTTCGTTGGTGTCTTCGTTCTACTTAATTGAACTTCCCAGTAGGTCTTTTAGATCTATGCACATCATGTGCAGATTTTCATGAAGACCCTTTGTTTTTGTGAATTAGGTGACTTTCTTAAGCAGACTCCTTATCTTATTCGTTGTTTATAAATGAGTTAAATCATATTTATAGGAATAAACAGATGAAAATAGTTTACCTTTTTTTAAAAGACAAATTGTCTATATTCTTTTTTAAAAAAATATATTTATATTGATTTCAGAGAGGAAGGGAAAGGGAGAGAGAGATAGAAACATCAACGATGAGAGAGAATTATTGATCAGCTGCCTCCTACACGGCCTCCATTGGGAATTGAGCCCGCAACCCAGGCATGTGCCTTGACCATGCCCATTGGGAATTGAGCCCGCCACCCAGGCATGTGCCTTGACCGGAACCGTACCTTGACCTCCTGGTTCATGCTCAACCACTGAGCCACGCCAGCCTGGCAAAAAATAGTTTATCTTTTAAACAGAGTTAAGAAATGTCTTTTAATGATAGCAAGTGGTATTCCCAGATACTGACATGTAGAACTTGATTTATTCCTTTGGTTTTAGACTAATATAGAATTTACTTTCTCCCATCTGCCTTTCATAAAAGAATATGGTGCTCAATAATTACCCATTTCTTTCTGAGCAGTTTTAAGGACATTAGATCTCTTAAAATGTAGGTATTCCTAACTACCTGTTCTTGCTCCTCTTCTAGCGCTGCACCCATCTTTCCTCTCAAATTCTGTTCCATTGACTTTAGTTTTCTTCTTTTTGAGTTTGTCTTTGTGCTCAATACCTGTTTGTTAGAAGAGAGCCCATGATAGGCTTATTTTCCCCATTTACATATATCACATAACAATGTTTCAAGTTCTTTTAAATACCTTTTGGGGGTTTCTTTAAGGCAGAAAAACACCCTAAGTATTTGTGATGGTTGATAGTTGGGTGAACTCATTGGGGAAATCTTGTAATTATTGCATAATGCTCATGTCAGTCTTTGATAAAGTAATTTAAGGGTATAATCCTGAACTGATCATTGTCATTGAGAGGATTGTGAGAATAAAATAAAACCATAGGTGTTTCTTTCCAACATTTTAAATTTCACCTTATTCTAAAAAAAATTAACAAACACATATAGACAGCTTATTCATACTTTGTCTTGAGGTTTTCATCACATTCTTTAATCTCTTTTCTTGATGTCCCAAGATATAGCCATGCATGTTGATGGTGACCTTTGCTTAAAAAAGCTTCATGCCTACTGTACTATGAAGTCAACAAATACCAAATTTTGTCTCATAGGCTTATCATTGCCATATCTTGCTTTCCTCTTTCTAATTCAGAAGTTATTTTTTTATCTACTTAATTATGGAGGACTTAATTACTATCTTTGTTTAATTTTTATTTGATCATTTGAGATTTGAGATTGTCTTCTTGGACTTTCATGTTTAATTAAACTTATAGGCAGGAACATTTTTAGGGTTCATGATAAATTTTCAATGTCTTTGCTTATATAGCACCTTTCATTTATGGGGACTTCATGAGAAAAAAAAAGGGGGGGGGCTTTCAGATTGTTATTTTTTCTCTTTCATGTCTTTATCTGCCACCCTATGAGAAAGGATCAGAAAGAACTGTAGACAAATTCCTTCCCCTTGTTCCTTAGTCATTTGTAACTGCTTCCCAGAAAAAGAACCACTATATGACAGGATGTATATGGGAAGAGGCTCCTGTGTAAAATCATAATGCTTTCAAAAAGTAATGCCCTCTTTTTCTGAACTGTCATTTGGTACTTAGGCCTCCCTTTAATAGTACATTATCTTTCCTCGTATAAGACCTGGCTTATCGACTATCTAATCAAGTCTTTGAGAGCCTAATATTCTTTGGACGTTCTGTGAATGTAACATGTTTGATGAAGTTGGCAATATAATTTCACGAGTAGGAATTCGAAGACCCTGAAAGGGCACACAAAAGATCAGCCACCTCTCCAGAATAGGACAGGGCTCTTTTAGTGCAAGACCATATGGCCTCTTTGGATGACTCAGTCCTGGAATAGAAATTATATTTTATTTATGCATCTTTGACAAATGAATTCTCTAGGGCTTGAGAAAGCCGAAAAGGTTTGTGTGTCTGCATGGGTCATTTTCTCTGTGAATTACATTTCATTTTATCTTCAGTTGAATGTTTCTTAGAGATTTCTGTTTGTTGTAATAGTTTCAGTCAGAGATTACATGTACTATTAGGTTTGTTTTACAAAACCCAGACTTCAGAGGCTGACACACACTCCTAATAGCACCTGTTTTCTGCCTCTGGGCAATATCTGTTTTAATGAATAATATCTGCCTGCAGTAAACAGTGGCTCTGGTGTCAATACGGGATGCCCGGGGCTGGTTCATCTTTTTAGAGCTGACATAATGGGAAGTGACTGACCGGTCCCCTGTCCTGCAGATGAGGAGAGTCTCCCAGAGCTTCCCTCCTCTCACCCCAGAGGAATCGAGCCAGGGCCCCTCTCTGCTCCTGGTGGTCTCCACTTTGCCTGAATTATGAGCAGGTGATTTGTCTCATCTTTGCAGGACACAGAGCAAATTAACATGAAAATATCGCTTCTCAGAAAACAAGGCAGGCTTGAATGCCCTGTCGCTGCTGGTCATTAGCCATCTGCCACCAGCACTCATACTCTGTTTATCACATTTGAAATTCAGAGCAGATGTTGCATAATAAGGTGATCTTAAAAACAAGGCAAGAGACTCAAAGAACAAATACTTCACAATAACGATAAGGATCCTGGAAGGAAATTCTTTTCAATCTAATGTCATGACTGGAGTAATCGAAGAGACCATGTTTTTTAAACCCACGCGCACACATCTCTCCTTATATTTAATGCGAACTGCTTTTCGTAGTAACATGGAATAAATTGAAAAGAAAGCACATATGTGAAAGATGCCTGAGAAGACTGTTTAATAAATTTCATTTTAATAAGCAAAGTGGGATGTTGTAATAGTAGTTCTGGTGCAAAAGACCTCAGAGGTCAGCCTTTTACTCTAAGATGGGCCTCAACTTAGAGCAGTTTGACTTCCTATAGTTCACTCCTATAGCACAGTTGGATCTCTTAAGATCATAGCTGGCCAGCATGGTTTCCCTGAAATTCTGGTTTTTTATTGGTCCTCTAGATCCTATGTACCCCATACCTTCTCTCTCTCTCTCTCTCTCTCTCACACACACACACACACACACACACACACACACACACACCATGCTTTCCTAGCCTCTGTGTAGCTGGGCCGCAGTTTCCTCTTCACTTTTTACAACCTGAGTCCTAAGAGTCTTTCATTTAATTGCACTCCCCTTCCACATCAGTGTAGCATTTTAAAAGATTGATTATTGTAATATTCTACCCAACCAAGTTTTGCACATTCTCTACCCTTATTATGCCTTATAAAAAGCACATTACTCGTAGTGTATTACCTATTGTGCTTAGAGGCATTCTGGTTTTTTTAAAAACGGGTATCTGAACTGTTATCAGGAATGTAACCTATATTATAGTTTTTCTTTGAAGAAAGTTAGGTTCAAATATAGTCTTTTGACTCAAATGAAACATTTTCTCCACACAAACCAGACCTTCATGCACACCCTTACTTGTGTATGTCCTCCCCCAACCCCCAAACACAGAATTTGGGGGGATTTTTTAAAAGAGGAACCTCCTTCAAATATAGTCTATTGACTTCAAAGGAAACATTTTCTCCACACAAACCAGACCCTCATGCACACCCTTACTTGTGTATGTCCTTCCCCAACCCCCCCACACAGAATTTGGGGGGATTTTTTAAAAGAGGAACCTCAGATATATTGCTAAGCAAAAGTTAAGCAGCCAGTCTGAGAGGGTTAAATCAAAGTCGCACCAGCAATTGGCCATTGACTCCAGTAGGAGAGATAGATGACCAGAAGTGAGTCAATACTGAGTTTACCCCAGATTTAGGGGGAAATGTAGGACGAGTGAGCTACAACTGTGGTACCTTTCAATAATTCAAGAAGCTTCTTCAGAGAATAATATTTTTAGATAATCTGACTTTGAGGTTTCTTCCAGAAATAAATCTTGAAGCAGTTTTCTGGGCCCTTGTAGTAGCTGAATTCATATCTGGAGAAAGAGGACAGAATTGTGCAAATATACTTATCTAAAATATGTAATAAAAAAGTATAACAGTTATTTAGTGGTTTGGATTTTTTTTTCTAAAAGGAAATATGGGTTAAAAAGTAAAAGCTAGTGTCATTCTAAAGGTACTGCTAGACTGACTCACTAAAATAAATAATGACTAACTAAAACAAGCAAATGACACTTTGATCAAGCTCAGTTGGAATCTCTTTAGAAAATACTCTCTCACCTTAGGCATTG